TGACTCCACCTCAAGACGCTCGATCCGAGTACATTTCAGGGCTCCAACACACACACGCAAACAAGTATTCTGCACAACATCTAAACCTTTCAAACTTGTTCTCGATGCCGAGCCATACACGATTGACCCATAATCTACTTTAGACCTAACTAGGGCTTTATATACCATTAGCAAAGACTGTCTATCAGCTCCCCATTTATTACCAGAAATGCACTTTAATAAATTTAGTGCTTTTTGACATTTATTCTTTAACTGACCAATGTGGTCTTTCCAATTGAGTCTACTATCAAAAAGTAGACCAAGAAATCTAGCAGAATTTTGAATAGGTATTGGGTGGTTGTCTAGAGTTAGCCTGATGTTCGGCTTTTTCCTATGTGAAAAAATTACCCCAATACTCTTTCTAATGGAAAACTTAAAACCCCACTGGAGGCCCCAGTTATGAATCATATCCAGTGCCAATTGGATGCGATTTGCTGAGAACTCTGCATTATTGCTGGAATGCCATAATGCACAATCATCAGCGTACAGTGAGTATTTAAGATTCCGAGGAGGAGCTGGTAAGATGTCATTTATCATACATAGAAATAATGTTGGTGACAAGACACTTCCTTGTGGGACCCCGTTTGCCTGGACAAAAATGTCCGAAAAAGTGACATTGTCAGAAAATAATTTGACAGAGAAAGTTCTGTCAGAAATGAAATTTTGAATAAAACAAGGCAAGTTTCCACGTAATCCAAAAGCATAAAGTTTTCTGAGTAGGCCATATCGCCATGTCATGTCGTAGGCTTTTTCTATGTCTAAAAATACTGAAATCAAAAAATCTTTCTTGGCAATGGCCTCTTGAATATGACTGTCCAGCTTTACTAGTTGATCGAGAGTTTGGCGTCCCTTTCGGAAACCGCACTGCTCGTCAACTAGCAAATGACTGGAATTTAGGAAATGCAATAGCCTACTGTTAACAATTCTTTCCATGACCTTGCATAAGCAACTTGTCAACGCAATTGGGCGGTAGGAGATGGCAAGTTTGGGATTACCCCCTCCTTTCAATATGGGAATGATGTGGGCGAAGTGCCATGAGTTTGGAAAAGTGTGGCTTTTCCAAATTTCATTGTACACTTCTAGCAACTTAATCATGTCACCATGATTAAGATGCTTTATCATCTCATATCGAATCTCATCGGGGCCTGGGGATGTTCCTCTACAGGCTTCTAGGGCTCGGACAAGCTCATCTATTGTAAGGTCTTTATTGTAATCAAAGTCATCTCCTGTGGCAAAGTGAATTGGTTGCAGCTCAGCCGCTTCCTTGATGGGCAGGAATGCAGGATGGTAGTTTGCTGAGCTGCTTGTATGAGAGAACTGCCTGGCGAGTGCATTAGCAATGTCTCTAGGTGAATCGATGTTATTTCCCTCGTCAATGATGTTTTTAATTTTGAATGATGATTTTTTCTTATTGATTTTATTGATTGTGGACCAAACCTCTGATATTTTTGTATTGCTATTGATTATAGAGACAAAGCTCCGCCAGGAGTCTCTTTTTGCTTGTCTTATTACTCTACGAGCCCTAGCTCTTGCTTGTTTGTAATTGCAAAAGTTCTCGTTTGTGATGTTATTTTTGAAAAGCCTGTAGGCCTTATTGCGTTGGCACAGCGCCCTGCGGCAATCTGGTGTCCACCATGGAACTCTATGCTTAACGCTATCTGTCGAAGTTTTAGGAATGGATAGCAAAGCTGCTTCTATAATCGAATTTTGAATGTTGTTTACTTTATCATCAATGGTTTCTCCAACTAGTTCGAGCTTGACGCTCCTTGTGAAGGCGACCCAGTCTGCTCTTTTTACGTTAAATTTAGGCGCTGAAGGCGTTCTCACTGTGTCGCATGAATATTTAATCAAAATAGGAAGGTGATCGCTTCCCAACGAGTCGTCAATGGTGTGCCACAGGCACTTAGCTGCTACTGATGAAGAGACCAGTGATAGGTCAATAAAGCTCAAATTACCGGTATTATCGTCCACCCGCGTGGGACTACCATCGTTCAGAAGGACTAAATCGGACTCATTTATCAGCTTAACTACTTGCTCACCTCTACCATCCACCCGCAGGGAACCCCATAACGTATGATGAGCATTAAAATCACCTAAAATTACTTTATTTTGTGGCAGACGTTCCTGAAGAGCAAACAGCTCATCATAGATTATCACTGTATCAGGTGGACAATAAACTGAACATATAGCCAGATACGTGCCATTAATTTTTACTTTGCATGCGACAAACTCCAAAGTAGAATCAAAAGTCACTTCTGTAAAAGGGAGGTTTTGGTGGATGTACATGGCGACTCCGCCTCCACCCCTACCCTCACGATCCTTCCGACATAGATGGTAGTTCCTCAGCGAAACAACCTCGTCAGAGACGAATTCTGTTAAATGGGTTTCTTGGAGGACTATAATATCGGGAGCATAGGACGAGGCTAATAATTTAAGTTCATTTACTTTAGATCTAATACTTCGACAGTTCCATTGAATAATGGTCGACGCGAAGATTACGTTTTATGGGGTTTGGAAGTGCCTTGTCCACCAGTTCGAATTTTCTTTTTATGGGAGGGAGGCGCCTCCTCTCCCTCGCTTCCCGGGGACCTCTCACGGGATGGTTTGGAGACAGAAGCCTCCATGTCCTGCACCTCCTGGCGAGGGAGACAACTGACAGATTGCGATCTGCTTCTCTCTCGAGAAACCGATCGCGAGCCAGACGAAGTCCTCACAGGAGTAGCCCGGACGGGAAGGTGCGCTCCGGACTGTGATTCGGTATCATCCTCCTTTTGATGTTTATGCTGGGTTGATGCAGCCATTTGATCGACCAATTTAGTCAGTTGGTATACTTTAATGTTCAATTCTTTGACAGTTTGTTTGAGTTCGGCAATTTCCTTATCTTTAGCTGCAAGCTGTTGACTGACATCACTTGTGCTAGGGGTGTTGTTAGTTAGTGCTGCAGCATAGGAAGTATCAGGTTTGTGTGTCAAACTTTCAACTTTCCTCTTAGCCTCAGTATAACTAACTTCATGCTTTCTCATATATGCCAATGTCTCAGTCTCCTTCTTCAGGATGCTGCACTCGGCAGATCCTGATTGATGGGGACCTCCACAGTTAGCACATTTGGAAATCTGGCTAGTACAAGTGATGGTGTCATGGGCCTCAGCACATTTACGGCAAGTGAATTTTGTAGAGTCTTTATCAATACATCTTAATGAGGTGTGTCCGAATTTTTGGCATCTATTACAATGCATTGGCTTTTGGACATAAGGTCTTACTTGAACACGCTCATAACCGACATTGACATATTCAGGGATTTTATTCAAGGCAAAGGTCAAAAAACACAGTCCAGTTTTCGTTCGCATATTCCCGTCCTTCTTGGTCATACAATGAACGTCCACTACGTCTTGGTCCTTCATGCTCTCGAGAATTTCACTTTCTTCCATCGTCCTCAAATCCCTGTGAAAGATTACTCCCTTACAGGTATTTGGGCCAATGGGAATAGTTACTTTAACTCGAAGATCATGAATTTGCGTCAGCTTAAGTAAATCCTTAATCTGGGAGTTGTATTGTACTTTAACAAGGAGGCTTCCATCTCGCAATTTTTTAACAAAATCAAAGTCGCCGTCCACTTGACCATCAAGGACCTTTTTGATGATAAAGGGGTTAACGTTCAGAAGCGACTGATTTTCATTCACGCATTTTACATTCGCGAACCTTGCATTCTGGGTGGGGATCTTAAAGAGTGGTCGTCTCGTTTTGTCGTTAGTGGGGGTACCATTGTTCATAGTCGAATTAGTCATAGAAAGGTCGTTAGTCGTCCCCCCTCCTTGAGGAGGAGAAGGGGTAGCCGGGGTATCACTCATTCTGGGTATCGGACCAGGTCCGACCCCTTGTCTCACAAATGTTGTCCTGAAGGGATCAAAAACTCTTAACTTTTGGTATCAACCTAACAACAATAGCTAAGAGAGTAAGGCAGTTAAACGTCCTCTACCCCCCCAGTGGAAGCCTGGTTGCGTTCTCCAGTACCACAGAGGGATCGAGTTATGTGTGGGACACCTCCTTACCGCCGAACTTGCCTAGGCGAAGGACGGTAATTCAATGCCCACCCCCCAAGCGAATACGGGAGCCCACAAGGGTACTCCGGTAGGCTCAGGGAAGTCACATTATTAGGAAAAGAATTTAGAAATTAAGAAAAAGTGCGCCCAAATGACGCCCCAGACTACTGGGCCTCCCTACCCAGGGGTCAAAGCCACAAGGGCTACCCTGGTGTAGAAGAGAGCTGCGGGTCTGAGGTGGGGTGCTGACTAGGCCTACTGCCTCGTGCCACCTGCAAAAGCAAGAGCACTGAAGGTGCTGGCAAAGTTCTCTTTCTGTAAATACAGGATTTACTTTACTTCGATTACTTTAAATAACTCAGGAACAACAATGTCAAGCGAGACGAGAGGCCCCGGGCTCCAGGGTAGCTCAAGTGGCACAAGACTTTGTATTTGTTGCTACTGCGTTAGGAAGGTGTTGTCACGTCAAGAGTTCAAACACGAGTGTCCGCAGTAACGCTCATCAAAAATACAAACACGAGTGTTTCGACCACGAGTGACCCGCCAATTCAAATCAGGTAAGGTCACAAGGTTTATTAATTGACTCCTTTGTGGCCAAGCACTAGCAGAGGCATCTATGTGCAGAAACATTTCACAAAAAAATAAGAAAATGAGCACAGCATTTCCCCTATTTTTTTTCGGCATTGCGATAAATGTACATATGTATATATATATATATATATATATATATATATATATATATATATATATATATATATACATATATATATATATATATATACACATACATATATGTACATTTTTATCAATATACATGTATATCTATATCTATTTATCTATTTATATATATATATATATATATATATGTGTGTGTGTGTGTGTGTGTGTGTGTGTGTGTGTGTGTGTGTGTATACAGCTCACCTAAGATCTGAAGTCTCCGTAGAAGTTGAAGCCTCGTCACTAAAGCCCGTACTCCCTCCCCGTCAGACGTGGTTCTCATCTTTTCCAGGCGATCAGGAAGAAGCTGCATCCCGACCGCTGTCAATTCACCTTCGAACTTGGTCAGCCGACAAACACTTCCTGGGCCTGTGGTTGCCCGGAGACATGCCTCAGAAAACTGAATAGAACTCTTTATATCACTTATAATGAGTATGACTTCAATGTTCTGCTTGGACAATGCCTCCAGACCAGAGACCTGCCAGCTTGGTGGCAACTCTTCTGTCTCTTTACTCATGAAGACTTCCACGCAGGAAGGCCTGACGTAGTCAAACAAAGCTACGAAGCCAGGCAGATACTCCCCTCGAGTCATTAGTGTGCCTCTGTTTCTCAGCACTTTGGCAGCTGCCTCTAAGATACTGGGATGTTGTCCCGAAGCCATCACCGTCTCGCAGATCCTGTGGCAGCTATTCTTACTGATCAGATGAGATTGATCACTGTATAATATAAAGCTGATGATAGCATATGCAAACTTATCCAGAAAGTTCTCTTGTGACAATGACAAAATACGTGCAATGTGAAAAACGATTTCCATTAGTAGTATTGATATGTCTCCTACTATATTTTGCCATATCAGTTCTTGTGCCTCTTCAATATTGTCTGCATAAATCTGGAGAATAGGATTTTTGTTGAACATAAAGGTTACTACTTCCTCCTCAGTTGGCAGTCCTGGCATACCAATCTTTTTCTTCTTCTCGGCATCAGTTAGGAAATCAAAATCCAACAAGCCTGTCATGTCTGGCAGTGCGTGGGACATCTTTGACAACTGTGTAGCTATATGACTTGCAGCCCAGTGTTCTTGAAATCGATTGTGAGGGAAGGACCACACTTGGACGATAAACAGACCTTGCCTAAATTTCTTTGAGGTAAGAAATCCAGATAGAATTTCTTTGTGTGGCAGATTTAGCTCATTGCACTTTGCTTTCAAATCTGCCACTGTTTCTGACAGCAAGTCATGTTCGTGTTTCTTCAGACATCGTAGAGCAACTCCTCTCTGGAAATCATGATATTCTCGAACTTTGTCCAGAGTTACACCAATGCCCTTTGCTGCCACTCTCTCCTTGACTTTTTTAATCATGAGGGATGTCAAGTCCTGATAGACATCGGGTGAGCTCTCATCTGGAGCCTCAACGTCGCGTATGATCAACAGGGTCAGGGTTAGAGGAACGTCCATATCTCCCTGCTCCGTTTTCAAGTTCCAAAGATTACTAATGATTTTCTCTTTCAATTCATCCCTTCGCACTGGATCATGTACAAGAGCAGTTAGAGTGTTTTCAATAAAGTAGGAGCGATCTTTCCTATCAATGCCTTTGATTTCGATGTTCATTACTTGCTTCTTATTCTTCATTATTTGAGTCAGCTCTTTCTGACAGCTCGGTCTAGTGGTTATCAAAATACGCATGTTTCTTCGGTAGCTTATGAGATCAGTTATGAGCTCCTTTGCCTTTTTACTCACTTCATCATAACCATCCAGAAGGACTACAACATGCATAGCCTGAAATAGATCGGCAAAAACGTCAGTAGTAAGTCCAGACTCCTGAAATGTACTGCAAAGGGCACTCTTAAGCATGTCCTTCCAGTTGGTAATGGTGGACCCTCTCAGCTGTAGGTACAGTAGAGGAGAAACAGCTTGAAGTCCCTTGATTTGCGAGGGATCTCTCACCCACATCTCCAACATGTGCTTCAGCAGCGTGGTCTTCCCCATTCCTCCCTCACCTGATATTATGATCACTTCAGGCAGGCGACCGTAGGCATCTGTGATTTGCAACAGATCCTTGTGAGATATGTCCCGAGGCTGGTGTTGCAGTTGCTGAGACGGTGACAGAGTTGAGGTGTCCTCTTTGATTACCAGGTTCGTAAAGTTTACACTCGGTCGGATTTTAAGGTCTGGATACAGCCACTGTGCAAGAGTCACATCCCACAGTTGCGGGTAGAGACCACGCAGCTCCCGCTCACTCGCCTCCCTTATCTTGTTCTGAAGTGCTTTTTGAAAGACTTGAATTTCTTGTTGCAGTTGTGGGAACTTGTCCAGGTCTGAAGCCTGAAGAGGTTCTCTAACCTTTTTTAAGAGGTCCTGAAAGTTTTGCTTGATCTCCCAAACCTGATCACGGAAAACATGAGGACGTATTCCACATCTGTTCCCGGCCAACCTAAGAATCCTAGAGAACAAGCACCTAAGTTTCCTCAACTCTTTCATAAGCTCTTGGTCCGACATCTGCCGGACGTCATTTGTGTGCGCAATGTCGTTGCGCTTTATTTTCACCTTGTGCAGGAGATGCTCCAGAGGCTGGCCCGTGGGAGGGGAAGCCCAGGCAGGGTCGCTCGGGCCAGCCAGTCCGCACATGAGTTGGAGAACACTGTAGAGCAGTGAGATGTCGTACTCCTTAAATGGGACACCTCTCTCTAACAAATGTCTTTGCTCGCTGTTGAACTTGCGTTTGTAGTCTGCCTTGGAGTGCCCTAGACTGAGAAAATAGGTCTTTACACAGGGCCCGCCTTGGTACATCCACTCCACCACCTGCACCAGCACTGCGCGGCCCTTGGTGACCACAGCCACCTGGTAGCGGAATCCATTCACAGTGTGTCTCGTGAGCATTGCTGTTCTGGATCGAGTTGCCATCTCGGTACTTCCCTAGAACCAGGTCTTCGCCAATATGCTTCAGAAGATAAAAATTTTGATTTTCAAACAGCCTCACATTTAATGTAGTATAAATGAGTTTTATATTAGCGTTGTATTTCATTTCAGTGCTCAGATATAGTTTTCGGACTCTGTAAAAAAAAAAATACAGAATATATTGTTTTTAGCCAGAAAGAGGATTGTTTAATAAATTCTGTAAATCATAATATATATTAATCATTTTGTCTATACCGCGGCTTTAAAAGTCCAATCTAGGCTCTCGAATATGCAGGCGTTTTCTTTCCCTTAGTTTCTCTTACTAACTTCGTTAGCAGATTTTTAAACACCTCGATCTTGGTTTCATCATCAAACGCGATCCGGTCACAGTACTCTTCGGCCCGACATTAATTTGAGATTTGCTTTTTAAATCTTTAAAAAATGATAATAAAAATGTATGTGTGTGGGTGTGCGTGTGCGTGTGCGCGTGCGCGTGCGCGTGCGCGTGCGTGTGCGCGTGCGTGTGCGCGTGTGTGTGTGTGTGTGCGAGCGCGCATTCGTGCGTGCGTGTCCAGGTGTTCATTTTCATAGACATATAAGAAGGAAAACAAGAATAGAAAAAAAATGGAAACACCTAACAACTATCCGTTGCCATGGAAACCCAAGCCGCGTATGTGCTAGTGGTTTATATGCTAGTGATTTTTAATAGTAGTCATTAACCTGCTTCGTGAGTTCCTCTGAGTTGAGTATAAGAGATGAAGAAACAGAATATTGAAAAAAAAATCGTTAGAACCCAACCTGTGTATGCCCCATTTACCCATGCAAATTAGTCATTACCCATGTATGGAATGGTCCTTAATTAGTTAATTGGGAATAAGATGTTTTATTTTCCAATTTTAGTACGGGGTTTTGTGTATGTTAAGCCATATTTTTAAAAACAAATGAATAGGCAAATCCCTGTAAAATATATATAATAGCTTGCCCTATCAAATACTCGTTTTCGCAATACATTTTCTTTTAGTTCAGGGTATACTGTTATATTCACTACCATCTAATTATATCATAATTATACAGTCGATACTTTAACGAAGAAATAAATTTATATTGCTTTTGTTATAAAAAACATTTAGGTTGTGGAGAAGAATTATGTCGCAGTCAAGAGTCCTCAGGAAAGATGAAGGTTTCTCTGGAAAGAAGGAAGGAGGCCGAAGGAGGAGAAAGAGGAGGAAGAGGACGAAGACGACAGGGGAAGAATGGCCCGAGGATGGAGTAACTTCGGTAGAAGAATTTAATCAGTAGGGTAACTAGACGCGTTATTTTGACGTGTAATGATTTAGGAGTGAATGTTTCAAGTGTATATGTGTGTGTGTGTGTGTGTGTGTGTGTGTGTGTGTGTGTGTGTGTGTGTGTGTGTGTGTGTGTGTGTGTGTGTGTGTGTGTGTATGTATATATATATATATATATATATATATATATATATATATATATACCTCTACTGATAAAGGTAGATCAAAGTACCTTTTATTTTTGTTAATTGTAGATTTCTAATGAAAGTAGTGCCAAAAAGTTGGGGAAAATCTAAAAAAAAAAAATGATTTAAGGGTGGGCGCTGCTTCCTAAAGTTCACTTTCAATACCAACTCACCTGAAGCTCTGCGACTTTGCAGGAGCCGAATCCGCATTGCTTCTCTCCTCCCGACGACGAGTACTTCTTAAGACGCTCTCTCTCTCTCTCTCTCTCTCTCTCTCTCTCTCTCTCTCTCTCTCTCTCTCTCTCTCTCTCTCTCTCTCTCTCTCTCTCTGTGCTGTCTGGAGATCTAGGACACAGATGCATCTCTGCGTTCCCAAAAGTCGCCATCTGGCTTGCGGCTGCGAAAGACTGCCTGAACGAGTCCGGTTCGAGCACGCCTTGGGAAAAGACAGAAGGATATTTCCTAGGTCTCTTGCCATCGTTGTTTGTTCAAGTGTGGGATACCTTTTGTTCCTGACAGTCGACAGCGTGGAGGACTGACTCTGCAACTGTTCGTTTGTCTGAGTATGTCGAATGCCTTGGGCATTTCCAGTATTGCGACTGTTGCAATGAGATCCTCAGGACCTGACAAAATGAGTATCTGCCCTTGATGACCTAAGCGTTGTAGCTCATCATATAGTACAGATAACTTTGGTTTCACATGCTCTTTCATTCAATGTCCTCTTACACATATAATACACTATTTTTACAGACATCTTTAGCAACTGTATTTACAGCATAACTATTAACTACATGATGATGAAGTCTAATGTACAAACA